AATGAAAATACTCAACTGCGCTGCTTTGGGCCAACACTGAACCTGTTAAGCTTTCTTTCTCCGGCCAGTTTTATAAACCCTGAGGGATGGGGGACGACCCCTGTCCCCACCTCAAAGCTCGGCTGGTGCCCCAGGTCTCATTGCTACGTAATTAATGTTACCTCCGGCCATGCTCCCTGTGTTTCTCCCCTACACAAAGCAGGGGGACGGTGGCTGCCGTGGCTGGGGGAGCAGGCAGAGGATCAGAGGCTGCCTTTGCCCTGGCCGACTCCTCTCCTCTCTCCTGGCAGGGGGAAGAAGGCCAGATAGGCCCGGCGGGGCTGAACAGCAGCGAGGGACCCAAGGTCAGCGCTGGTGTTTGCCGCTGTGTCCCCTGGTTCCCCAGGCTGCCCTTGTCCTCGTGCGGATGGGGCAGGGATGGGGCCACCCTGCCCATGACCTCCAGCGTGGGTCCCAGCACCCAGGGGACAGCATCACCATGCCCCCCCCCAGGGAGGGTCCCACTACGGCCATGTGCCGACCTGCTGACACGGTGGGGGCTGGATGAGTCCCATGGGTGCTCGCCGGGGTGGAGGGGCTGGGGGAGACCTGCAGGGGGGGCTAAAATGACTGTGTTTCCCTTTGTGTGAATTTTAGGGAGGCCGAGGACCTGATGGCCCGAAGGGAAGCCCAGGACCACGGGGAGCCCGGGTAACTAATGGGGTGCTGGTACTTGTAGCTGAATCTTGGAGCATCTTTGGCTGTGGGAGATTGAAACAACCCTGGAGACCCCTCGCTGGGTGGCTTGGGATGTGCTGGGGCTGAGCCATGACATCTTCGGGCACCAGTTTTGCCTCCAAACCTGCAGCTTTATTGCTGGGAGAAGGATGCTTTTCTTAATGCTTCCTGTTTTCCAGGGCCGCGTGGGTCAGCGTGGGCTGGTCGGAGTCCCTGGGCTGCCCGTAAGTAGCAGATGACCCACGTCCCTGTGCTGGTATGTGGTGCCATCAGCACTGGGATGGGGAGCAGCATCCTGGGATGCGGCCAGATCGGAGAGTCAGGCTTTGCTTGGAAATTTGCAAAGGATAAGTTGGGAATGAGCAGCTCAGGCTTTTGCACATTGCATGAAGTGTTTTGACAAACCACCTGCCCAACACCACAACTTCTCTCTGTTATTCAGAGTCGTGTTTGGTGAAGGAGCCAGGAATAAATAGCTGGGGCAAGAGGGGAAAAAAAACATGGTCGAGGTGTTCACAGTGGGAATGAGTTTCCTCCCACACTCGTGTTATTTCCCAGCGATCTTCTCCAAAGGTGGGATGGAGCAGGGAGGAGCTGCAGGAGCTGTGCAGGGTTGAGCCACGCACTAACGAACCCATGGCTCAGTACAGACCCGACGAGCACCCTGGGGACCATGCCACCATTGATTTGCCACCTTTTAATAGTGGAGGGTGGCTCTGGGGCTGGATGAGCCCTTGATGGGGGCACCCTGCCACTGGGCTCTGCTTTCCTGAGATGAGGCTCTTCTTCCAGGGCGCGCGGGGCATCCCGGGAGCAGAAGGCGCAGAAGGAAAGCCTGGTACACAGGTTCCCATCCTACACTCTGTACTTGACTGCGGGCAAGGGCTGGGGTGGTGGGTTGTATCAAGAAGGGGAGCTGAACCTGATGGAGGGGGACTTCCCAGTCCCACCGTCCCCATGGCCATGCGGGTCAAGACCTTGACACCATGTTGGACCTTGCCATGATGTGCATCTGCTGGCTCTGGGCTGGCATGGTGGGACTGGGAGAGGCTGCCTCTGCCTCCCCATCCTCATCATCACCTGCCTTGTCCTGCAGGGTCCCCCAGGGACCATGGGCAGCCTGGGCAGAAGGGGACCTCCGGTGAGTAGAGCTGCATGGCTGTCTGATTTCTGTCCTTCCTCCCCTCTGCTCGACTCTCTTCCCTTGGTGATGTGCCTCAAAAGCATGTCCATGGGATGGAGCGCAGGTGGTGGGTGGCAAGACCAGCTGGAGGGTGCTCCTCTGGGTGCGGCTGCAGGCAGGGACCTGCTGAGAATCATGCTGAAGAGTCAAGGAGAGGGAATGGGGCAGTGCATTTAAGAACTGGCTACTGCAAAATGGTATCTCATCCCTGGCACTGCTATCCAAAACAGGTCCAGCAGCAAGACCCGGGCTGGCAACAAGTTTTCCCATCTGCAGGATTTCTAATATTTGTTTATCTTTGGTCTGAAATGCAAAAGAAAAAAAAATTTGGCACGTCCCTCAAAATAAAATATGAAAAATGTTCTGCTCTGGGTCAGAGACGCACCTCTGAGTTTGCTGTTAGCATTGCACAGCGCTGTCTAGATGCACATGTGGGCATTGTGTGCGTGTGCACACACAACCGTGGTGCTTCAACAACGAGAAACCAAAGAGCTGGTTTGAAGTGGAAAGCACCAGCGCTGCCTTCGACAGGCTGAGCCGTTCGCCTGTGCCTGGCCCTGGGTGCTGCGCTCTGGTTTGTGTTGGTCTCGGACCACGCGCTGCCAGGGGGAAGCCTCTCCATCCCTCCTACTTCTGCCTTCCCTCCATCACTCATCTTCTGCCCTTTCCTCCAGGGTTTTGCTGGCTTGCAGGGGGGCCGTGGGCACGCAGGACCTCCTGGATCAATAGTAAGGAAAAAAAAAACATTCCTTCTGCATGAACTCTGCATTTTTTTAGGTGGGAAGTCAGCAGGGCTGTGCTACGGGTGGGGGATATGGGACTTTCCCACCTTGGGAACCATCAGGGGATCAGGGCATCTGTAGGACCTGATCTTAACTTCTTGTTAAAAGACATAAGTCTCAGTGGCAGAAATAGCTGGGGCTAGGGAAGAGCAGAATAATTTCCTCAGGGAATCAGCCTGCCGGAGGGACTTTGCAGCTTTCCCGAGCCTAGCAGGGTCTCCATGGGGGACAGCAGCCCATGGAAACCCTTCACACCTGGGTGGCTGAAGAGCAGCACGGTCCTGGGTCCTGGGAGGGGATCAAAGCATTTGCTCTATCTCAGGTGGAAATGGGTGGTATGGGTTCAGGGAGGACAGTCCCATGTCCTTGCTCTGGATGGAGACGCAGAGCAGCTCCTGCAGCTGGAAGAGCTCCTTCCTGAGAGTCTGCTCTCAGCTGGGCTTGGTGATGATCCCAAGAGCGAGTGTCGTCACCTTCCCCAGTGACAACCCTGCCGGAGAGCCAGCCATGGGGTGCTGGTGTGCAGGAGCCACCAGGATGGGCCACGGTGGCAGGGTTTGTCCCCAGCAACCCAGTTTGGACCAGGCGATGCCTTTCCGTGAGCACAAAGGCAGCAGTGGTGGCTCGGTGGGGGTTGTCTCACCTCAGCCTTTTGACTGACACTTCCTCCCTAAATATTTCCAAAGGGCTCTCTGGGAAAACCTGGACCTGACGGAGACCCGGGCTCCCTGGGCCCAAAGGTGAGAGCTGGGGCTTGGGGGGGCCAGCAGCATGCCGGGAGGGCTGGTTGGAGCAGTGATGGTGGTGAATAGCCCTGACAGGCTCTTGGCTGCCACGGGGAGACCCGGGGGGATCCTGTGGGTTCAGAGAGGACAGCAAGGATGGGAAGATGCCTGCCCGCATCCCGGGAGCAGAGGGTTCATTAATGTCCTCGTCTTGCCTGGCAGGGGCTGCCTGGGAAGCCTGGCTCAGAGGGGCCGCAAGGACCTGTTGGCACCTATGTAAGTGATAGCCCTGCCTACGGAGCGGGGTACG